TATATATATATATATATATATGTATATATATATTTATACATGTATAACGAGCGATTTAATTAATTTATGAAATCAAAAATATAAATGAAAAAATCTTTTTAATAGCCATAAACAAAATATTTATTTGAAAATGAAAACAAGTAAGAGAATTTTAAATTTCGGTTATGAGCGAATGTTTTATGCTCTTCCTTTACTTTTATTTTAAAACAAACTCGGGAAACAGCAAAAAAACAAAAATTTAATTTCTATACTCTACTCTTTTGAAAACATAGATGCTCTCAGCCTGTAGCTATACCAGAAGACTGACCATCGGCCATCATCTCGCGCGGCAGAACTTCTAATACTCTTAAATAATTCGTAGCCAATAACTGAGAGGTAGAATTATTGTCCGGATCATTTTTGCAGACAGGACAGGCAGAGATACTTAAAACGGTTCTTACTTGATACTTATCAAAAATATATATGTCTTCCTTTCAGATTCCTTTTCAATGTTGCTAACGTTGTGACAGTATGAATATACCTTCAACCTACTAATCATCCCTTCAATGCAAAATAGAACGCTTTTGGTTTTTTTTTTTCTTCTTTCTTTTATTTTTTTGCAACCGAAATAATGAATTAAAATTAATATGATAGAAATAAGTGCGAAGGAGTTCAAAATTTTCATTTTTTAAGCTTTGATTTTTTCTCTTTTTTTTTTTCAACATGCAGAACGTGTATAGCGGGGTATAGAGGGGTATAGTATAAGTTTCACATATATATGTCTACAATGCGGTTGAGGGAAGTGTGAGCTCCGTAATATCGAAGATATGTTCCCGTCGCGTGGTCTTTATCCATTCAAATATAACAGTTTAATAAGCAAACGGGAATTTACATTTAAAGTATTTCTACATATATACATAGGCTACAAGCGAGTACTTCTAATTTTTATTACTTAAAGTTAAAAACAAGAAAAAAAAAAGAAAGAGAAAAAAAAATTTACTAGAAATATACTGTGCCGCTTAAAGTTTTATCTACTTTAGCTTAAAGCTCTGCACTTGTGTTAACGAGAAAACTAAAGCATCGTATCACCTAAAAGTATGCATTCCTCCTCTGCATTTCAGTTTGATTTAAACTTCTTCACAACAAGAAAATGTAAAAAATAAAAACCCTAAAGGAAAAAACAATACACGCCACAAACACACACACACACACACACACACACACACAGAAAAATGAAAGCAAAACAAACCCTGAAATATTTCCTTAACAGTATTGAAACGATGATGAATACTTCAATACAATTAAAACAATAAACGGATCAAACGTTCAACGTCGTCTCGCAAACAAAGTGTATCCATGAATTATAAAAGATAATGCAAAGCTAGGTCGGGCTTTGCAACAGCAATCAGTAAAATTTCGGGTACTTTTGACCAATAATTCTCAAGCGTTAACAGCTGCAGCAGCAAAATGTAAATCTCAAGTACAAAACAAATGCAACGGCGCATCCTTAAATACCCTACACCAGCCTATACAGTTATTCATGTAACGACTTCTTAAAATTAAGCGTTATATGGCAAATAATCGAAAAAAAATTATCCGAATCAATTCATTTTCAATAGACTTGATCCTTGGACCAAATAACGTCAGTATATCAAATTTCATTTCAAATGTTGCAAAAATTGCCTCCTCTATGTGGAATAAAAAAAAAAAAACAAAACAGACTAACGTACGGACAAGCTAAGCTTCAGAATTATTTCCTCAATTGATCGGTATAGTAAAAAGTTGTTCGGCCTTAAGTCCTTCTACCTTCGCGCCACAAGTTATATGGTAAAGAAGTGTAGCTTTCACGAGGCCGCACAATGTGCCTTAATGATACATTTTAAGGGCGAAAAACATCAAAGTAATATTCGGTAAAAAAAGTAACAAAATAATGTCTAATAACATTTTCACGAACGTTTTAAGGAAAGTGCAAAAGCAAAAAAAAAAAAAAAAAAAAATAGAACCAGAGAGGTCGCAATGTTATAAAGTTAAAATAATCAATGCATATTATGACAACAACAACATTGGCTTAGTTGCTTCTTTAATTAAACTAAAATTAAAATAAAATGAATGCGAGATGAATAGGAAGAAAAAGCGAAACGAACTATGTTTGCAGGAGGGGATGCACAATGAAAGGACATAAAGCCGTAAAGCCGTTCGATTAGGCAAAGGCCAACTGACGAGAGTTTCGAAAATTGATAAAAGTGTGACGTGCAAAATCGGGCAACCCCTTTTTTAACCGCCCACAAATTAACTGCCAAATGCATTATGTGATTTATTTTCAAGTATTAGCATATAAATCAATTATTATATTATTATTATTTATAAATACATCTACATAGTTATTATCCTTACGAATGAAGCGAAAAAACATATATATATATATATATATATATATATATATATATGCATGTTTCATAGTTATTTCACATATTACCCCTAGTTATAAAACTTATGTTATGTAAATATACGTACATTGTACATAACTTGCTAAATTGATCCGTCCACCATAATTGTGCATGACATTCCACATACACATAAACATAGGTTGCTCACTGCAAACATGAGTACATGCTTAAACCATGTACTCAAACTATTTATCAACATTTCCCCATCTTCACGGTTTAGATGAAGATGGTCTGCATTTATATATTAATATAATAACAAAACACTTATTTCAATACTCAGGCGGCCGCTTACTTTATGCAAAGGGACAAAACGATATCTTTTGTCGACATGGTTGCCGAATCAATGAAAAAGCAATCCCTATGGGAATGGTAGATGGATAGTTTCTAAAATGACTTAATTAATGCGAAAAGTTATCATTGAAGAATATTGAACAAAAATGTTCATTCTTACATAGTAAGAATATACAAATATTAGTAGATATCTAAGTTACTTTTACCCACTCGGGATAAAATATTACTCGCTAATATGTCCGCGTATTATTACTAACTTATGCGTCAGCCAGGAACCCTGGCTGGCATAGTATGAATAGCGGCAGGGAGACGACCTTCGCCCATACAGCGGTAAAGTTCTAGCCAACCTTAAAGAGGGATCGTCTAGCCTTGCTCTTGAGCTTACGATATCTTAGGATATTAGGATCAGGGATTTTTTTTTCTGTGCTGACAATGATGCTTGTCCTGGTTATCCCCTACACTCGCACTCGACCACACTTAGATACAGAATTTTTCCACTAGGTTTTCCCCTGCACTCACCGTCGGCCGCACTTAGCTAGGAAATACTGTTCCGACGATGATGCTTGCCCCTAGTTTATCCCCTGCATTCACTGTAAGAAATTGTAGAGAAATGTTAGCAGACCGCGACAGGGCGTCCTTACTCTAAGAGAAAGTCGCTACGGTCTACTGCAGAGACTTATCGAGTATTAGAATAACCGTTTTGTATTACCCGAATAAAATCGAGATTAAGTAAAACGAAGAGGGTATTTCAAGCGGCGACGCAGGCAAAGAAAAAGGTACGACATCCTCCGTAATAAAAAGTTTCAAATAACGTGCGTCTAAGCTGACTCGCACGTCAGGCACGTGGGAAAACGCTACGTTACAAAAACAATGAAAATTTTGTCGTGGTTGAATGTGCAAACAATTTGTAGCCACATATAACCGCATTTGCTCACTCGGCATGGATTGCAAGAAACTTTACTCTTTTTGAAGACTATATTCTCAACTCCAGATCAACAATAGCATCAACATTTTAAAACAAATCATCGATAATGCCACTTAGATGTAAGTGATAGGTTAAACCTGACAGTCAATTCAACGATTATATCCCTTAATTATGTCGCATTCAATATGAGTTCTTCTTCTTCTAAGGAGATATCAACTATTACCACAACTATGATATCGGTAAACTTACGAGCAGAGAGTATGCCCCGGGTAATAGACATAACGAAACGCTACGCAATTAACAATTTTTTTTTTTTTTTCGAACATAAAATGTTATATGGAAACTTAATAAGCTGTGAATATCAGCACAGGTGAAATATGTTTCAGTCATTTTTGTAAGAGAGAAAAACTAGGAAATGTTGTTAAGACTACTAAATAGATTTAGACGGCTAGACGGCTATTGGCGACCGGGGTACATGATACATCCTCTTTATCTCACTTGTACGGCAATCAGACGTATAAAATCCAAGCTGTAGCCTATTAAGTGTCAAAGTGTTTATTGCATCGCTGCAAAAATAAATATCGAAATGAATGGCCAACGTTTTATGCATAGTCTGATAAAACAATCTTCTAAATCCGTCCACGTATGACAAGTAATTATGCGCTGCTATAACCGGTGTGCCTGACTTCACCATTCTCTTTTTGCGTTGTTTCACCCTCCGTCACCATGAAAGTAATGTTGAACTTTGGCTCTGCTTTCCTAGCTTTGGCCAATCACTTTTTCTCCAAGCGTGTCTTCGAGTTTGTGGCGTTTGTCTTATATGCAGCATATTTAAAGGAACAGAGACCTTTGCAGCATTAATCGGCAAGCCGTTCATGTTAAATTTCTAACATGTGTTCTTTGATGTAAATGGTCCACGTTGCGAATGTGGGAGGGAAAGGCACGTATTTAAAAGACGACGAAGACTTGCCAAATTGCGCGTTTTAGATCAACATTGGCTTATTGATTGATTGAGTCCATCGATGTGACGTACAAAAATGCCCGACACTACATATATGATGATCCCAAGTCGTCACACGTGAAGCTCGCAATTCCCCCTCCCCCCTTCTCACGCAATCTTCTTAAGTTTAATTTTATTTGTATGTAAGTATAGATATGTACGGGAATATTTTCATGCAATGCAAATATGAAAGCACATATTTCGGAAACACGTACAATATGCACACTTAGCAATAATTTATGGGGTTTAATGGGTAAAATGGAGGGTACATTTTATGAAATTTTGGAATTTCGAAATTTTATATATTCGTATGCCTTTGAATTTAAATGAATATGTAAATGTTCATTTTTACAATTAGGAACAATCACAAAACTGTTGAAATTAGTTCGGGCCATTATTTCAGGTGAACATCCGGAGGCAATGCAAACGGGAAGTTCCGGTTGTCACTACAATTGGTTAACAATTATGCTGCTGATATGTTTAATATTTTGTTATAATCAACATGCAACGGGTGCATTAGACGCCGCACTAAATACAACAACAAGCTCGACCGCAACGAACAACACCAAACGTATAACAAAGCAAACGCAACATTTGCCTATAAAATTACCACCTACCACCTATATTATCAGCACTACCGTAGCTCATGTTATTACTGCAACCACTACCGCCGAAACGACCGCCACCACAATCATCAATACCGATCTGAATCGCAACAACGTACACTGCCACTGTTTAAATCATCGACATGGAATGGGATGCCATCATTCATATCAGCTAACATCAAATAATGTTAATGGCCGGCGTTATTGTTGCGGCTGCTATTGTTTCTGCAAAGTGGATTGGGGGCGGCAAACACAGCAGCGGCTACATTTTCCACGCAGTTATTGTTCATACATTAATAATAACGAAAGCAAATTGATTTGTCTGAGATGATGTGTAAATACGGCCTTCCCAAGCGTAACTAAGAAAGCTGGTTAAAAATTAGTTTAAAAACAAAAATTTATAATCAAGTAAGTAAAAAAATAAAAATTAAATAAACATAAATACGTACAACGTAGCTATCATTCTCACCTAAAGATAATTTTGAAAATAAAATAAATTTATATAATTCATAATTTTTTTGTTAATAATCCAACTTAAGATAAAATTAAATTAAAAAGAAAAAAAAAAGGAAAGGCTTGCAGTTGACGTATGTTAAATGCCCACCTATGAAAAACTCAAAGAGAGTCCGATGAATAAATTTACAGATATTAATGCAAATACATCCATCTATCCATCTTCCTACATATATTTCTGTGTATTCTGTTTATTAAGCCTGTCCATCATTTATTTTCATGTTAACAACAAAACAATGAAACAACCAAATAACCAATGAAATTAAATAGAAAAACGAAGAAGCTCAAGCTTTGAAATCCTATTGTGGCATATATATATTTACACATTTTATCGGCATACATCGGCTTGCATACATTTACACAATCAATGAATGAATACATGCTTGATATGGTATATAGGTTGAGGCGATTAATTAATACATCACTCAATATACTGCCGATTTAATGCATGCATGGCATCACAATTCACACAACCACACAATTTCGGGATAATATCAACCTTCGAACAATACGTGTCAAAATTTCATGAGATTGCGATCAATAAGTTTACAAGTTCACTTCTGTTATTTTCCGAATAATCGAAGAAAGTTCTGAATTTCATTTACTGAGTAAAATTTGCTTTCATGCTACGGCGACTCTTGCATTTTGAATAAATAAATTTCAAAGCGATTTGCTAATTTTAAATGCCAGTCGCATTGATACCGTTGATGCTAAACACTCTGGTCGCCAGAATCCGGCAATAGTTCTAGGAAATATGTGCATGAATGTGAACAAAAATCATGTGTGAAGGTCGAAAACTGAGTTTGCGTGCCTTAGATGACACCTTAACGATATCAGGAGGATAGTATATTTACTAGCATATTTTAAATGAACATACGTCCATGAAAAAGTTCTATGCGGAATGAGTGCCGCGTGGTGCTTACTTTCGATAACAATCTGCTGATGACTCAACGCGTGTTTTCACACAGTATACGACAATAAATGATAAATATGTTCATCACTACACTCCAGCGTCAAATCGGCTGTCAGTCGGGTGTACAGCAACCGGCGAAAAGCGTCTAATGCGACCAAAAACGTACCATGAACTTATAGTCGAAATATTATGATGTTTTGACACGTATCGTATTGACACTATCGAAATATCCTATAAGACAGTCAACAGTGTTGTCATTTATGTGACAGATCGGGCAGACATTGAGCATTATCATATAACAAGGATTCGTTAAAAAGAAAGTCCGATAAGAGATTTGTGGCCATAAAATTAATACGCTTTGTAGCGTAAGCTAAACGCATCTAAACAAAGTTTAGACTTACTTTGCGTAAATGTTGAACGTAAAATATTTTCGAATCCATGTTTACTCTCTCTTAAGTCTCTCTCCTATGAGAAACATAAGAAAAAGGACAAACAAGCAATTATATGTATCGCTTTGAGTGAAGCGCTTCATAATATAATATTTTTATTTTTTTTTCTTTCTTTCTTTCTTTCTTTCTTTCTTTCTTTCTTTTTTTCTTTTGTGCTTTAAGTAAATGTGTGATAAGTAAATTTAATTCATTTGCGCAATTCACTTCCTCAAAGAAATAATGTAATAATCAATGAACGATGCATATATAAATAGAAATTAAATATTATTAATTTTAAGGCTACACAAAGAGCAAGAGGGAAAGAAATTGTGTACTTGAATACATTTCTTAATTTTATTAAAATAATCAATAAATGTTTTGAAAAAAATTTATTTTTTTTTAATTTTTCCAAATATACAGCAATAAAATCGTAAATGAGTCAAATTGACTCGTTCTGGTAATCTAGTGTTAATATATAAAACAACTAAGGAAACTATATTCGGTCGTCACCGAATCTTTTATACCCATTACTCTTATCCTAAAAGAGACAAATTAAGTAAAATAACTTTATATGAAACTTTTCACGCATAGACGCGCGGGCACTGTAGGAGCGTCCTTTGAAAAGTTTAGATCTCTTACAAATTCCTTTGCCAGTTCATAGGCCATCTCCATTTTCGGTAACGGAAGGATGTTTAATAAAAATACTAAAATATCCTGCAGAGACAGACAGACAGAACAAGTGAACAGACGAACATGTTTATGTGCATTCCAAGTTTGAAACTAGCCAAGAATTTACATGCTTTATGGGCTCGTTGAAGCTTATTGCTACGCCCTGTAAGCGTATTGAAAAAAAATTAAATTTTGATACACTATAATATTGAGTAGGCGTGGTCAATTTTTTCCCGCTTCAATACCAACAAGAACTTATAATGCTTCTACCAAATTTGAAGTCAATTGCTTTTTTTTTGCCGCCAGAAGGATGTTTACAGCAGACCTTACACAGACGGACAGACGTACAGACGGATATACTCAAATCGGTGTAGAATTTGATGCTGATCAAGAATATATAGAGACTGTGTGGGGTCTCTGAGCTTCCTTCCGGATGCTGCAAACGTTTCGACAAAACAAACATACCTTTCCTCCTTTGGTGATGGGCATAAAAAAAGAATGGTCATGGGTTCAAATCGCAAGTGCGTTAGAGTTTTTGATAAAACTGATAGCGTTAGTGCTCCAAAATTGTAGTCTTAAAAGTTATCTCTCGGGCTAAATTCAGAGTAAATTATGGTTTATTTTGCAGCTTAGACCTTGGAGTGATATTCTGAACAAAAGATCGTTCAAACGTGAACCATGGTTTTCAAAGCATTGACGCGCAATGACTCTATACAAAATTACTTGTGCGATATCGGCAATAGCCTAAAAAATGTTCGTATACAAATGTTCGAAATATTGGTCGACTCTCAGCATTGACTTGGGCTTTGATCGCACGCTAACTCACACGCAGCATAGAGAAACCGATTCTCTAGTGAGCAAACAATTAGCCCACACAACTGAGTTGCTAACTTGTTTTAAAAGTTATTAATAATTTCTAGATGTATGCAGGAATCGTGCAGCCGCTGCATGACAACACTGTAAATGTATTGGATATTTCTACACATAAAAGCACACAAGAAATATACAATTGAATGAAAGAAATTGCAGTTTTAACAAGTAAAAATCCTATAGCGGGGAGTTGTCTTTTCACAAAGAACTTTTCAAAATTAGGCATTATATGGGCTGTGATCCCTACTATTTTCACTAGCTGTCATATTTGGACCAAAACACGTCTGTGTACCGAATTTCATTAAAATATTTTCAAAATTGCAGTCTTTCGATTGAATACAAGAAAACAAGCCAACAGATGGACAGAAAATAATTTTCAATCGATCGGTATAATAATAGATGCGTTCATCTCATGTCCTTAATGTGGTGTTTACATTCGCACAAACTTAGTATACCTTTATATCGCAAGTAATGTGGAGTATAAAAAAATCCCCCTTTACAAAAGTGAGTCAAGTCAGTCTTATGTCCCTTATACATCTTCGACAATATTGTTTTCCACAGATACCCTAAGGCGCAAAGACTTTGGAATGTAGTATGTGTAAATTTTATACTTCTACAAGCAGATGATGATGATGATGATGACTGATTTATATAAATTTATGCGATGAAGTGATGAGCGAACCGTAAGTATTTTTCTGCGGATCACTAAAAAATCCTATTCTAGGTTTTTAGATAAATTTGACATCATCATCGGAAAGTGAAAAAGAAAGAAACTATTAAGTTCAAAAATGATTAATTATTACTATGGGTTTTTGGTTGTATAACATGAAACAGTTAGAAATCAATCGCTAATACCCCGTGAATGATTCATAGATATATTAGATATCGATCTGACTTAAACTTTATCTAAACTATATCTACCGTGGAAAAAAGCAATGTCGCGACCAATAGCAACGAAGAGATGTGTGAAAGAAGCGACAATACAAACAAGTTTACCCACTTATGGATCATATATAAAATACGCAGCATATTTCGATGCATATTTCTATGCATTAGAAATCTTTCATTTATCTAATGTGACAAACAACAAAAGTGTTGCTTAAACTTTCATCGCTTTTCAAATTTTCAAATTTGCACAAATTGAAACATGTAGGGCTTAAAGTTGGCACATTTCCATTTACAGATCGAATTGTGCGTCAACATTTCCAAGTTATAGAAAATATAGATTTAAAATTTTGTACATAAATATGCACCACTTATACCCACATACACACACACACACACACACACACACACACACACACACACACACACA